AATCACATAATTGGATTATTGAACAAACTTCGAGAATGACACGAAAGAAAATTATACGGGTTAAAAAACCGTGCTTCAAACATAATCCAGACATTTATAAGATATTAATAGAAATATATTTTAGCGATAGTTACATAGTTTCTTTACAATGATTGATAAGAGAAGTATATTATGCTCTTACTTATGCTTATTTTTGTTTTTCAACCAATATCATCAATCATTCATTGTTAAAAACCATCTTAGCTAATATTTTACTAATGTCACAGAGGATTGCTATTTATGTTATTTTTGTCTTATTTTGTACTCTTCCATCATTTTTCAAAATTATTTTTAAACGGCTATTATTTCATTTGTTTCCTAAAAATTTAATTAAAATAATTAAATTAATTCTGAGAAAAACTGTAATTTTAATTTAAAAATTAACTAAATTTAATACTAGCATTCAAAATATTTTATTTACTACTACATGAAAAGATGCTTCAAATATTAAACAAATTAATTTTAAGCAATTTATTAAAAGCAAATTTTATTGTTATTATTTTTTTAAATTTTAAATAATATATCATTAAAAATATGTTTTTGGGAGGTAATAAATTTACATTGTGTGTGAATTCCTTGTAACTCCTGCAATTTTTGTCCAATCCAGAAAAAAATTTTGGTTATATTCGTTTTATGTTCTGGTAGAAAGTATAGGCTGCTTATTTTGCAGAAATAGTAGCTACAGAAGAAACATTTTATCGATTTCGGATCGGTGATCGCACATACGTTGCAGTGACCACGTGACGTTCATGCTTAACGAGGGAATTTCCCTTAAGTTTCATTTTTACATATTTTGGCGAATGGAGTATTTTAAACTTCGTTAAATTTAAAATTTAAACTTAAAAAATGATAGCCGCGTTGTCTCATTTCTATAATCAAATTTTTAAAAAAAATCTTTTCATAGTGACTACGTGACTTTGTATTATCCAATTGGAAGTAACGATCTAATGAATCCGTAATTTAGAAAGTGTTATCGTCATCTAATTAACGTACTACGTACAGTACAATTTATCTTTGTTTTATCAACGTGGAATTAAAAAGATTCGTTATTTTGTCTAAAAAAATGCCCAGGGGAAGTGTAAGAGTAAAATTGGTCAGGTAAATTCCATATTTAAAAGAGTAAGAACAAACGAGACCACTGAAGACTGTGAAGTTCGATTTGAACATCAATTAAGAATGGCTTTGTCAAGGGCTGAAGAAACAGCATCACAACGTCAAGCTCGACTTGAAGCTCTTTTCAATTCTTCAATTTCTACTTTCTCATAAAAAATATTTCGTTATGCTTGACGGGAGAATTTCTAGTTTTATTTTAATTTGTAAAAATAATTCAAAATTATATGCTCTTCTGCTTAAAATGAATATATTAACAGATTAAACACCTTGACCAATTAGAAAGATATTTGAAATTTTTTCAACTTTTATTTTCTTTTCTATATATTTTCTTCTAAAAGTTATTTTTGCATATAACTTATTATTAAGATTGTAATATTAACATTTGTGCTATATTGAAACGTTAAGACATAAATATAAAATGAGAAAATATTTAACATAACTTTTACTGTTTGAAGTAACTAACTGTTCCGGGTTTGAACATTTTAACACTTATAATAAACTCTGAAATCCCGTGCACACCACAACATATTGGATTAGATCTATCCGAATATTTTCCTTTTTTTTTACAATAGAATGAACAGTTCTTTTTATTGTGTGAAACACGCAGTCATTAATTTGGAAAAAAAATATATAAAAATTTTCAAATTGCAGTATTAAAGCTTTAATTAGTAACATAATCAATAAGGCAAAAAGTTTGGAATCGTTCATATGTTGATATACATACAATATATTGTTGTTTTATTATATAGACTTAATATGTTTGTAATATTATACATTTCAAACCAGAAATATGAACACGAAATTGATATTAAGTTTCATAAATGAGGATTAGGCTATGTCTTTTTACTGTAATTGCGTGTAATCGCATCTACTGTGTCCCTTATTATTAATATAAAAATGAAAACTTTTTTCAAATTTTGCCCATACTGAATTTTTAAATATGTTAATTAAATGCAGTCGACCCCCTATAACACGGTAGATACGTTCCGGTTTTTATGAATCCATTTTCTACGAGTCCAGCCAATCACAGCTCGGCACGTATGCGGTTTATGGACTACGGCTGTTTGAAAGGTTTCTTCCATAAAATTAATCGATTCTATACTAATTCGACTCAAAATTTCCAAAATACTGTACGTATAATTTTTTTGGGAATAATCAATGTAAAGTATGCTATAAACAAAAAATTGTAGGATTACTTACCGAGTGTGCGCCGTTCGACTACGCCATTGCTAAAGCTTGTTTTCGTCGTGGAGCTTGTCGTCGAATAGCGCTCGNAAAAAACCTTCTAGGAGTACCTTTTTTCTTTAGCGCTCGGAGACGTACTGTGCTGTACAATATGTCCCGGAAGATGCAGTACAGTACAGTACTGTACGTCCCCCAGTAAATGAGTCTGCATCTCTCCAGTTATGCCTCTAATAATTTTCTTACACTGTCTAAACGGATAATTTTTTTTAAATTTATGAATATGTAGATTAAGCTTTATTTCCTTAGTGTGTATTCTTATCAAAGTTGATAAAAAAAAGGTCAATCCAGTGATTTAGTCGAAAGATATGTATACAATTAACAGTATTGATGCTTTTCAGAAAAATGATTTATTGATTCATTTTTCGATAGCAACAAGGATATGAAAAGTTGCTAGAGAGAGTGGATATTGTTCTTAATGAAATGTTAATAGTCGTTCCAAATCTATATTTTGAAATAAGCCACCACAAACTAATAATTATTGATATGTCAAAAATGTTTGTCTTTTCCTTTTCTCGATTTAAAAAAAAAGAAAAGAAAAGATTTATTTTAAAATGTTTACTTAGCCAGAAATAAAAATTTATATTCTTCTTAACTATTATTTTTTAATATTTATAATAATGTTCATGAGTATGGCAATCATAAGAAGCACATGAAATACCGTAAAATTTGCAACAACTTTAATCTTTATTTATAAAGATAAATTATATACGTAAAATCTAAACTTAGGCTTGCTAACACTATTGCCAATGGGATCGTAACGGGAAAATTTGAACTAATTTTGAAATAATAAAGTAATTAAAAATTAATTTATGTATATATCTTATCATTTTTATCATCGTGTATATGTCATTAATGTACAGTACGTATTAAGTTTATGTAAAACATCGGCATTACAATGTTTTGGACATAATATAAATAAATGCTATAAAGCCTAACATACAAAATGATTGTTGACGTTATGTATGTATAATAATTAATGCTTTTTACTATAATTAGAAGATGGATTTCTTATAATCATAATAGTAGATCATTTAAAGACAAATAAATTAATTAAAACGAAATACTGTATTTTAATAAAAATTGCCAGGACATAATTGCAAAAATTCACAAATAGGCCTATATATAAAACACTACAGAATAATGAGTCTTCTTATGTCCTCACACTTCAGGAAATAACAGTCTTATGGCGAAGTCGATCTTTATATTATTTATAGTTTTTATTTGTTCCACGTCACCAGAGGGAATTCTTTTTTATTACGTTTTGCATATTGAGGTGGATGAGTGGCCTCTAAATAAAGATATGATATGGACTTCGCCAAGACTGTTATTTCTTGAGGTGTGAGGACATAAGAAGACTCATTATTGTATAGTCTTTTATATAAATACTGTGTTTGTGAAATACTGTATTCCGAAAAATTCCAATAACAAATTTTTCAAAAAGCAAATCATTAATATGTTTTCTTAAATGATTATTTTAAACATATTTTTAAAATGATGATCATTCAACTAACATATAAAGAAGACAACCATAGACTACTTAACGCATAGATCGGCAATATTTAAACTATTCTGTTTTTTGTTAATCATAAACATTCCTACTTAACATCAAAACTATTTATAATTCATTTGGAAAATAATTCATGTCTTTAGAACGCTGTAATCTTGTGTTAATGTTATGATGTTAACCCACAAATCTCTAATAGTAATCTGGTGAGTTTTTTATTAAAAAAATTATAACTATTTAACTATTTGAAATAGATAAAATTGACAATGTATTTATAGAAATTTTGAAGTCTATGGTTCATTGAGTGATTTTTCTCGCGAGTTTAACCGAGGATTGAAAAAGGGAAATTTTACTTCAGAGAAGATTGAGAAATTTGAATGAAAAGTATCGATTGAAAGAAAACTTTACTTCAAAATTTAGTCATCTGTCATTCTCGGACAGCAACCGATACTTTGATTTTATTGTTATTTATATCCAACCAATTGATGTTTTGATACATTTTTAATTAAAAAATGCACTTGATAGTAATATAATGACGATTAAACACCTGCTTCATTCTAGCCATTTGAAACTCTTTTAAATTACATGTATTATAAAAAATACTAATTCTTCTACGTCTACAATTAATAATAAAATGATTATTCTTTCTTATAATATAACGTTTATTAAATAATTGGATATATATAAATTAAGTCTAAATATTATATTCATACTTTCGTTAAGTTTCACCATAAATTTTCAAATATTTCGTAAAATTAATATGAACATTTTGAGGAAAAATATATTACGAATATGATCATCTTGATGAATGGACTTCCATCGTTTAGCATTTCATTCAGAATTATATAAATTTACTTTTTCCACTAAATTCATTAGACTAGTAAATTTTAGTTACAGGAAATTCCTTCGAACAATTTATACAAAACGATCCGCATTTGTTAGATTAATATTAAATGTTACAATGATCTTTATGATAAAATTTCTTTCTTAATTTTATAATAATAAAGAAATTTAATACAAGACGTGAATGAAGTTTAAAATCATTTAATTACAGAATGTGTCTTGAAATCTTTATTGTGACAATTATTATTTTCTTCAGGAATCTCTCGATGGATTTGATCCTTCCAAATTCAAGATTGTTAATAAACAAAGAAAAGTAAGTTCTTATCAGTAATTATTTTTATATTTTCATTATTGATTTATAAGCTTATAGATTTTATCGCTCGTTATTTACTTCATTATATTTAGATACATTTCACATGTATTCTAAAATTTTTTTTCTAAAAAGTGTATTGAAATTTCGTTGGTTATTATTATTTTCATTTTTCAATTAAGATATTATAAAATGAATAAAATATTAATTCTGAACTAATTTGCCAACACATACCCTAATACGTACGTATATAATATAGTGTACACTTTGCATTTTATGCAAATTGTTTATTCAAATAAGTCGAATAAAATTGAAAAATATGTCATTATATTTATATCAATAGTGAAAATATATCATATAGGCCTATTTAAATGCTTTTAAACATTTAATGTTTGAAACCTAATCGAATAATCTGTTTGCATTAAATCTACTTATTTAAATTACATAAATGAATATTTACAGAGCGGATTTAAAATAGTACATCGTGTTGCTTTATTGTCTGTTGTTATATTAGACTATATAGTTACTTGTTGTTATTACTCAAAGTTATATTATGTTAATTAATAATGAAGTACTGTATTATTTTAGTTGTTATTTGCATTATGAGAATATTTTTTACATTTTCTATTAATTAATAAACTCGGTCGTTATAACAACAGTAAAACACTTGAAAATGATAAGTGCAGTTGAATATTTTAGTTTTTAGCAACCTATTTTATGAAAAAATAATATTTATCATTTATATGTNAACAAATGCGGATCGTTTTGTATAAATTGTTCGAAGGAATTTCCTGTAACTAAAATTTACTAGTCTAATGAATTTAGTGGAAAAAGTAAATTTATACACAGTTGACCCCCCTATAAGATATAGATACGTTCCAATTTATTAGGAATCCAATTTCTTACAAGTCGTTCCAATCACAGCCCGATACGTGTCAAGTTTACGGACTATGGTTGATTGAAAGGTTTTCTTCCATAAAATTAATCGATTCTAGACTAATCCGACTCAACATTTCCAAAATACGTATATTTTTTTTGGAAATAATCCGTATAAACTACGCTATAAACAAAAAATTGTAGGATTACTTACCGAGTGTGCACCATTCGACATCGCCGTTGCTCAAGCTTGTTTTCGTCGCGGAACAGCGCAGCAAACCGCGGCCGCGATTTCTGATGTTATTTTTCTGCGAAAACTAACATGAACTTTGGAGACATCATTAATATAAATAATTTTAAT